ATTTGGAAGCATCCAAAACTGTGAAAGACACATTGAACCCCAAGCAACGATCATTGTTCAGCTGCAAAACCAAACCAAATCAGAACATTTATAAAACTGTTTGTTCAACAAACTTTTGGATGCCCGTTTCCCAAATTCCAATTTGTGGATGCTTTTCTTGTTCAGGTCTCATTCAATCTGAGGATGTTTACTTCTCAAATAGAAATGAGAACTAACAACGATGATCTTGTAAGTAGCTCTCTCTGCTTTTATCATTTTTCCAGCACTCAGTGACATTTGAGGGAGAGCTGGCCCCGTTCATGTTTTACCTCCTGTGAAAGGAGAATATTAACATCACGAAGAACTTGAGAGAGAGAGAGAGCGAGAGAGAGAGAGAGAGAAAATGTCCTCTTTGATTCCGGAGTGATAAGAGCAAAATATCAGCCTTTCTGTTCTAAACAGGATGTTACTGCTCCACTCTTTGATTTCACAAGACCATTGAGTCCCAGTCTTTGTCTGCTTTTCTAACACAGTATTTCCGAAATGCATCCGCAATCAAAGATGTCAAAGGGTTTGACAAATATCTGCCTTTGTGAGTAAAACGTAGAGCGTTGTTGAACTTGGCATTTAAATGAGAAATAAAGAGAGCAGGAGCTTGCTAGAGCTCAAGGATGCCATCTAGCCGCTCTGCAGTTCACCAAACAGGAATCAACGTGTGCATTAGTGATCGAGATGCTTTTGTTCTTGGATTTCTCCAACTTCAATTATAAGAGCAGCATTTAATATCAATTAATGGCTGCAGTGGTAAGTAGATTTGTTCAGTGGAAATAAACATCAGATTGCAGCAGTAAATGATTTGTGGAATGTGCTTCAGCTGGGGACGCAGTATGTGTGTGTTTGTGTCATCAACGGATGATGTGGGTTTGCAAATCTTTTAATTACACTCGATGAGGAACGAGAGATTCTGAAGGTTTACAGAGCGTACTGCAACTGTTTGAGTCGATATCATTGTGCATGTGGGATTTAAATACTGAAAGAGGATACGTTCACATTTTAGAAACATGCTCTGATTAACTGAGGATTGGTAATTATTTTTTAAACATTTTATACTATTGACGGCTAGTAAATTGGGACTTGTGGTAGATATGAATCTATTAAATTGTGAACCCACGAGCAAAAACATGAGATAAAATTAAAATGAGAAAAAAAATGCATGATCATCTTTCAGTTTCATTTTACAGACCCCAGATCAGGGCCATCTAGTGGTAAAAAGAAGGAATATCCCTTGGAAGTAAAAGACCTGTGTTTTGGCATGTGTCTTTCAAAGTTCTGGAACAAAAAAGCACAAAAAGTGCTTGAAACAGTGTAAAAAGTTTAGGTAGTTTTTTTCTACTTCTGATGAAATTGATCAACTTAAGTAAAAACTATTTGTCATATTCATTGTATTAAACTTATTTGGAGTGATAATTACTTTTTAAATAATTAGGTAAATGCAACAAGTCAACAGTATACATGTGAAAGTAAAACAAAAAAATGTTTTAAAACGTAAAAACTGTTTGCTCTCTTTTTTGCAGTAAAAAAAAGTTAAAAAAGTAACAAGATTTAAGAATTTTTAGCACAATTTCAGGATTGTTGTGGAAGTTAATGTAATGCAAAATATATATATATATATAAAAAGAGCTGTGGTTGTACTAACAAAAAGATACACACAAATCTGTTTAAAGTAATTTATTAGAGCAAAGTGTAAAGTAGAAAGGGTACTTCTAAGGGTTAAGGTGCATAAAGATCATTCATACAATAAATACACATTAAAGCGTGTAAAAGGATATTGCTAGAGTAAAAACACTTTCATTTTTCGAATGTTAATTAGATTACCTGATTCGGATCAAAATATAAGCAAAGCAAGTACGTTTACTCTTTTAGAAGCTACTATAAATGAAAGAATTTAATTTTCTATAAAAAAAAAATATTTTTAAGGCCTTTGACATGAGACTACTCAATGCAAATCTAGATTGTTCTCTGGTGAAATAAATGTTTTGTTGCGAGTTCTTGGTGATTTCTATTATTGTAAAATATTATAGAGATATTTCATTGTCACACTGTATTACAATATACCGCTGTCTTGCATCCTTTGTTGGATGATGTGCATCGTATTAGATTCTTGATGAAACAAAACAGGCCAAATCTGCATTCGCGGTAAAATCCCTAGAGTTTAATAAACTCTATTCAGATTATATTTGCTCGGCTGAGTAATTTAATAATCTATTTAATGACTTTGTTTCCAGGTAATCGTTTAGTTTTGTTTGTCTTTTGTTTCTGTATAGAGATTTGTGCTGTAAACAAAAGCTTGTATCACTAATAATAAGGCACGCAAGTTTATTTGTAGCACATTTCAGGTTTTTTCAAAGTGAAATGAATATAGGGGAAACCAAGCGCAAGAATCGAAGAAAACAACAGAGCATGGACAGTTTTGTGTGTTTTGTACTCCAATTTGTTCTAAACAAAAATTACATTAAAACAGTTTTTGTGGTTGCAGTGGTTGATTTTTTTAGGTACAATTTTTCAGCACATTACACAATAATTCCACAACAATCCTTTAATAGTACAAAAATACAATTAAGTCATTAAGTGTTGCCATTTACTTAAAAAAAGTGCAAAAATTGAGCATGAACGGTTTTTACATTTTATAACAAAAATCAAAAGTGTTGAGAAAATTAAATTCACAGATACCCCCCAAAAAGCAGACATTTTTTTTATTGTATACAAAAAAAAACAGACAAACCTCTTCAAACTATATTCACTATTCCAAGCACTTTTTGTGTTAAAATTTTGAAAACACAACCATATCACAGGTCTTGTACTTCCAAGGGTTATCCCTTCACCACTAGATGATCTAAAACAAAATTTGAATTATGTTGCAGATTATGATTTGAAACCCACACATTACAGATTATATAGGTACATCCACATCATCCCTACTTAATTCCAAACAGCCGCTGTGATTAGCACATGCATCGGTGCCTGCAGATATTTTGAGCCCCAAAACGGAGATAAAAAATACCCAAACGTATTTACCTCCCATGCTTTGTGTAATTTATGAATGTTGTTTTTCACAGTATACTTTTATTTAAAAAAAATTCATAATGGTATATGCAAGAACTACTTAAAACTGGGTCTTTTGTATTCTATTCCTAAAGGAGGCAGCTTCAGTATACTTGCAAAAAAAATCTCATTATTAACAAAAAAAAAAAAAAGTTTAAAGAATCTTAAAGTACTTGAAGAAACACAGAAGTTGGCAGGACTCAATTCTGCCTGCGGTTGGCCACAGCACACATTTGGTCCCTAGTTATACTGTTGCTAAAGACATTGTGTCATTTATCCCAGAACTGCTGTATCCTCTTAAATGACATTCAATTGGCTGATATTATGGGGAAACAGCTAAAGACTATTTTTTTTTTAAATAATCTACATTCAAACTCATTCATTCATTCATTCATTTTCCAACCCGCTTGATCCCCTTATGGGGTCACGGGGGTCTGCCAGTGCCTATCTCCAACGCACATTGGGCGAGAGGCGGGGGTACACCCTGGACAGGTTGCCAGTCCATCGCAGACATTCAAACTCAACCAGCTAAAATATCTGAACACCCATAGCAAATCCAAATCAGAAATCGGCGAAATACGACATAAAATTCTCGTCTGCTTCTTGTGCATCTGCAAGCTTCAGCAGAGAGAGATACAGTTAAAGAGCATGTAACACTTTCTTGATTTAAATGCAGTTTTTAATTGGATAGAGCCCCATTATTTTTCAATACAGAAAGGGCAGTGAGGCAAGCAAAGCTCTTGAATATTTTTGCAAATCGTGTTCGACAGCATAATGATTAAGCATGTCACTAAATTTGCCTCACAAAATGAAAAGCAAACTTCATGCAAGGCGTAATTTAATTGTTCCCCTTCACATTTTACGCCTCCCATTGTTGGGAGCTTTCTGTTCGTGCAGGCTCTGCATTGGGGCTTGACATGAAACACTCCAACCCTGCCACTATCAACATACGGCGGCACAAATACACACAGAGTGCCGTGGTTTGTTACTTGCTCAGTATAAATGTCCGTAAAGTAAAATAAAAAGCAATGAAACATCTGCAAATTGTTACATTGCAGCACATCGACGTATAATTTTTGGCACAGTATATTAGAATTGTTTCATTGGTACATGTAATGGATAAATATAACAACGTTGTTCAAAACAAAACTGATCCCAAATGAAATTTCTTTCTGTTAGAGATTAAATCATTGCTTTACAAGAAGCTTTACATCTACAGACAAATATTGCCATCTGCTGGCATTCGTGCACAACCCTAAAAAATGCAGTTCTTCCATGACGGAATCCTTAAGCTCATAATCAGGCAGAGCGTGATGGTGTATTGTTTAGAACAGCAGTATCTACACAAGTCTACACAAGTGTTCTGCACATCACTGGTCAACCAACAATGGCTCTGGTTTGTTTTGCAAAGTCAGAGCGATATTACACTTTAACTGTTATAAACCTGGGCCTTTTCCAGTCTTGGGAGTGTTTTGTTAGAGCAAGAGTTTTTAAAACGTAATGCATCACGTATGTAGTGATACGAAATGCCTCTTAAACATATCATATAGGGGACAAACACAGTGAGATTTGAGAAGTGAAATAAAGTCTATGTGCTTTATGGAAAAGGTGCATACATTTAGGCTCCACGAAAGAAAAAAATGAACTCACTAATTTGTTAATCCTCCAATTTGGGGAAATAACAGCCTCTAAACACTTTCTATAGCTTTTAGTTAGAGTCAGACTTTTTTTTGGACTGTTCTTCTTTACAAAATGGTTTCAGAGCATGAACAGCCTGATTTTAATCACACCACATATTCAAACCCGCTTATTCCCTTTCGGGGTCACGGGGGTCTACCGGTGGCTATCTCCAGCACACATTGGGCGAGAGGCGAGGGTACACCCTGGACAGGTCGCCAGCCCATCACAGAAAGATATTACGACCCTGGTAGGACTCGAACCTTTAATCTTCTGATCCAAAATCAGACGCCTTATCCGTTACGCCACTAGGCCTCACACTACACATGTTCAATAATATTCAGGCCTGAGATGACCATTCTAAAACGTTCTTCAACTTTGCCCCAAATCTGCTGATATTGAGCCGAATCCATGCAACCATCTACTTTAACAAGATTCCCAGTCCCTGCACTGGTAACACAGCCCCACAGCATGATGGTTACTGAAGGTACCAAGTGTTTTTCTTATTTTCTTGGTTGTTTTACCACCTCAAATAACTCTATTTTAGGCTCATCAGTCCACAGCACCTTATTCCAGAATGAAACTGCCTTGTCCTAATGTGCTCTAGCAGACCACAAGCGACAACTTATGTGGCATGTTCAGAGAAAAGGCTTTTCACGCATCACTCTTCCATGCAGCATCTGAATAATTGAACGCTGCACAGTTATGCCATCTGCAGCAAGATGAGGTTGTTGGTCTTTCGAGCTGGTCTGTGGGTTGTCTGTGACTGTTCTCACAATCTTGCGCCTCTCTGTTTATCTGAGACTTTTTTTGGTCTGCCACTTCAGGCCTTAACCAGAACTGTGCTTGTGGTCTTCCAGATCCACACAATGTTCCTCACAGTTGAAACTGAGAGCTTTCTGTATCCTTTCCTAAAACCGTGATGATCAACAATCATTGTTTTCAGCTCATCTGAGAGTTGTTTTGAGGCTCCCATGTTTCCACTGTTTAGAGAAGATGCAAAGAGGAGAAACCATAACAACTGGCCTCTTTTTAAATACTTATTCATCATTGGATTCACCCGTGTATGCAGGTCAAGGGTCACTGAGGATACCAAATAAATATTTAGTTCTAATAATTAGGGCCATAATTAGTATTGAATCAATAAAATGACAAGGGTGCCTACATTTATGCACATGACTTATTTTATTTAAATAATTTTGAACATTTACTGGGGTGCTTAACTTTCGCATGCCACTGTATATTCCAGAGTGTCCGTGCCACCTACACTGGCACAACAAGAACTATAAAATTTGACCGTTTACACCACACAATGTGTTGTTGAACTAGTATAAATTATTTTGTAAAATCTTCTGCATTGAACATTACTGTTTCAGAGTCATGTTTTTTAAACCACTTGTTTCCAGTTAGGCCCAAATATGACGTAGTTTCATCAAGCAGGTACCTAATGAGAAAGCTATATATTCCACAATGGAGCAGTTAGAAGCAGAAATCATCGATTCACTTTGTTTTGTTTTTGATGTTTTATAATAATATTAATATGTTTTAAATAAATGTTTATTTAAAATGCTGTTGGGTTACTTCAGCCGGTCTGAAGATATTGGTTGAACCCAGTTCGCCCCTATCGATGGCTTGCCAACAACTGCACGATTAAAATGCGCAATCGTCTTTCAAGTTCATTTTACAGACCCCAAATTAGTGCCATCTAGTGGTTAAAAGAAGGGATAACAGTGGAAGTACAAGATCTGTGATATGGCACAGGTCTTGCACAAAAGAAAAATAAAGCACAAAACAAAGCACAAAAGAACAAAAAGAGCTTGGAACAATTTATAACGTTTAGGAAAGGTTTGCCTGTTACTTTATAATTTTTTTCTGAGTTTTGACCTTGTCTTTGCTTTGGGGTTATTCATTTATTTTTATTTTGTGAACAGAAAACATAAAAAAAACATTTTTGCAGTTAGAAAAATGACCAATTTTAATATATATATATATATATATATATATATATATATATATATATATATATATATATATATATATATATATATATATATATATATATACTGTATTTTTTATAAAATTTCAGGATTGTTGTGGAATTATTGTGTTATGTAATAAAAACATATTTGTAAAAAAAAAAAAAGAAACTAGGCTTGTCCTTAAAAAAATATATGACAAATTGCTGCAAAAACGCTGTTTTAAAGAAGTGTGGACTTCTAAGAGTTAACTGAACAACAATATTTAACTTCCAAAACTGGAAAACAAAAAGTAATAGATCACCAGTGATTTGATTGCCACCGTAAACACAAATAAATGAAATTCTACAAAGCAAGATGTGTCCTCATTCAGATATTGAGAGATTCAGAACGCAGGTAACTTATTTCTTTGTAATTAAAATGAAGACATTTCAGCTGAGATGGAAATCGTTCAAACGAATAATCCGTGGAGTCACATGAAATGATTCAAAAGGGTTTCTGGAGCTTTGAAAAAAGGTGATAAATCAGTGGAGGGGCCAAGACACGAGAAGCGAACACAACACAAAACAATATTTCCCAACAATATTTATTTGAGCAGCTGAGGCTTCAGTCATGTATGGAAACGTACGATCGCTTTTTAGAAACACAAACAACATTTTGTGAACTCTTCTGGACTCTCTGGAGTGTAAAAGTAAATTCTTATCCTTGTCTGCAGAGGCGTAGTGTAGATGCCCTGGCTTTTCTTAATATTTCATACTCTGATTACACTTCAAATCACCCTGTAAATCCTCTTAAGGCATGCAGAATTATTCAGCCCGTGTATGAGTGTGCGAGAAAGAAAATGAGTGAGAGGGAAAAATAAAGATAAAGACAGAGACAGAGAGAGGTTAGGTACTTATAAGCCCTAAAGGCTTGCTTATCTTTCCAGCACATGCATCTTGGTGTCTCTCGTGCATGTCAGTTTTCTATTTTTTAATGCAGCAAAGACAAAGTAAGCTGCGCAAGATGCTGTGACCGTCAAAAGGCATTTTCTGTACCGACTCATGTGGAATTCAAAGCTATGGGGAGACTCATGCACTTCAACAACAACAATAAAAATATCTCAACAACAAAATAAATCACTACAGTCATTTATCATACACTTCCTAAAATTACTGTTGACTAAAACAATGTTAGAAATTAACTAGTGAAGCAACAATGCCCTAAACAATAAAACAGAAACATTTTTGTTTACCATTGTATACATTTCGTTTATGGGAATCAAACTGAGTGTCACAATCGCAACTTAAGTGCAAACAGAGAACAGCTCATCACGTGATATCTCTCTCTCCATCAGTGAGAGTTCCGGGCTTTAAATAATATCACAGGCAAGTTTTTATCCCGGTTTACTAATTTTGGGTAGACAATGTACCGTAATTAATAATTTATTGTTGGCTATAATGCATTTAAACGGTGATAGAAACATTGTTCGTAATGAAATAGCTTCAAGTCTTACCTTGATGGGCAGCACCTCCATGTGGCCATTCGGCAATTCTACCGGAAATAGACAAATTTCGCATAACTGTTACATTTGCCCAGTTTTAACCAAAATTATTTATATGAATGAGCGTTATACCTTCTGTATAATTAATGAATGTTTGTGAATTAATGATGTCAAACAAATACATGATTTGAAAAGGGATGCAGCATGTGTGCTCTGAAAAAAACCCCGTCCGTGCTACACCAGCCATTTTTTTGTCTGTCAAAGGAAGTTTTGTCATTACCCCAAACACACTCTTTTTGGTAATTTGTAGTAAACTCATCTTATAAAACTCATGATATGTGCTCACTTTTTGTTTCTTTGTTTAAAACTTTTTAAGTTTTATCAAAACAATCGAATCCAATTTACTAATTTCAGTGTCTTTTTTGAGTTTTATAAAATAAAAACCTTTCTTTCCATATGGAAGAACAAATGTACATTTTGAACAAATATATTCAAAATCCATTTTAATATATGGGAAAAATATTAAACGTTTCAAATATTTAAATATGTGTTTAACATATACATAATATAAATTATATTAATATCAGAATGAGCTTTATTGCCAGGTATGTTTGCACATACGAGGAATGTGTTTTTGTGCACAGGCACTACAGTGCAACAAATTCACAAGACAAAATACAAGTAATAAAAAAAAAAGTATAAATCCAAATTTACAAAATGGACATTCTAAATTTACATTAATTACATAACAACAAAAATTACAATAATATTAAAGCTCTTTTCTACTATTTAGTTTAATATATTTAAATACAAGAATTATATTAAAAATCAACTATCAACTATTTAAATATGTGTGTGTGCGCATGCGTGTGTGCGCGCGTGTGTGTGTGTGTGTGTGCGTGTGTGTGTGTGTGTTAGCTTAGTAGATAGATGTAATTACTGTACAAAGAAAAAGAAAAGCTCTTATTGTGTGTCACTATAAACTGGGATGTAAATATCTTGGGGAAAATATGTCCTACCATTTAAAGTGTTTATATAACAAGCTTTCCCAAATATTTTTTTTAAATGTAAAAAATTGTAAAAAAAAAAAACTTTTTTGACTATCACCATTTGTTTTCAACAAACAAATCAGTTCAATCCAACACTTTCTTTTGATGATGGGGTTCTAACAAGTTTGTCAGCTTCAGTCTGAACTTTCTACACATTTCTACAGAGAAAATGAAAAAATGTACCATCTCAGAAGTATGGGTAGAATCTGAAGAGTAGATGGGAAAATATCTTTAAATCACACCCAACATACCAGTGACATGCTAAAACAGGTTATGCAATGGCGTGTGTGTGTTTGTGTGTGTTAGTTTGTGTGTGAAAGAGGGAGAGAGAGAGAGAAAGAGAGAGAGAGAGAGAAAGAGAGAGAGAGAAGAAGGAGAGAGAGAGATAGTTTCACAGACAGCAGGTTGCCCTTCTAACATAGCTCTGAAATCCGATAGATTGCCCTTGTGTTCATTTCCAGGTTAAAAGACATAACAAAAAGGCACACAGGTGCTTTTTATGAATCTGTGAACTCCTGAGTTCCTTGAGAGTAAATATGACAACTCCTAGGCGGATTCTGATTAAAGGAGGGAAGGTGGTGAACGAAGACGTCTCTGTGATGGCAGATGTCTATATTGAAGATGGCATCATTGTTGGAGTTGGCTCAGATCTGCAGGTGGCAGCTGGCACACGGGTTATAGATGCCAGTGACAGACTCGTGCTGCCAGGTGGAATCGACACTCACACACATATGGAACTGTCATTCATGGGCACCACAGCTGTGGATGACTTTCATTCTGGTACCAAGGTACTGTACATACAAACGA